GAAGTGGCTTCCCTGTACATGATGTTGTTCAGCTCTGCTTCTTTAGGCTTTGGGTGTGTACAGTCTTTGTGTTCGGCCAGCAGAGGCTGTGGTTGCAGCCAGGCGAATCACCAAATCTCTTTGATGTTCTTCCTTCATGAAAAATTGTGTAGTTTTCTGGCTGAGCTTTGCATGGTCATCATCATAGTTTCCTCAGGGAAAATCAGTGCATCTTGTCTTGCCGCTGTAAAAGCAAAAGGAGCCGAAAGCCTGACAATACAGACTAAAGGATTTAACGCTGTTGTAGAAGACGTAGGAAGGAAAGGAGCTCAGCTCAGTCAGTGAGGTTGCACCAGACCTCCGTCAAGAGAGGAGGCAAAGTGCTGGGGACTGAAAAAGGGAAGTCTCAGAGCAGGGAAGATTTTCCTGGGAACATACTGAGAGCGCTAGAAAGGAAGTGGAGCACCACTGTGAGCATCTGGCTGAGCACAGGGGATGTGCATGTAACATGTTGTACATTGCTACACTCGTATGCATTGAATATGATAAATAAGTGTTTGTCTGGACAAAGCTGTGTCCACAGCTGATTTCTAGGAAGATCTTTTGCTCCCCTGTCCCAAAAGAATCCTACTTTAGCGTTTGTGTTCCCTGTTCCACTGGGGAAAGGAACCAAGAGCCAGAAACACAGAGGTAGGCTTAGGGACCTGGATGAGGGTTGCTGCTTGGCTGGTTTTTATCTGGGCTTTGTGGCTGCTCTTCAGGCTACTACAGATCAGTCTTCATGCACACAGCTGCTGGTTTTCCATGTGGGCTGGCTTTTCAGTGGAAGACAAGCTGCATGGGGAGGCTGGGGGGCCAAGCAAAACAACTCTGTCAGATTGTAAAAACCAAAAGAGTCGGTAATTTGGCTTGCAGTGGCGGTGAAGTAAAACTTGGTGTTAGACCACATGGCTCACCTAGAGTAAAAACATGTAGGTACCCGATGAGCTGCAATGTGAATTGCCTGTTGCCCAGGCAGCACCCAAGACGGAGTTTGGGTTTACAGGAAATAGCTTTGTAGGGTTGGTGGAAGCAGCTGGGAGGGATGGAGAACACAGTCTGTGAAAAGCAAAGCTTCATTGTCCCAGGAGCACTAGAACTAATGAGCTTTGCATTTCAAAGGTGGTGAGCCTTCTTCAGACCCTGTAAAATACACGCCTGGGATTTGTCATGTTAAATCTTTACACCAGGGAAAAGAAGTGTGTGGGGGAGGTGGAGGGAGGGAGAGGCAGAGGAGGCAGCATGCAGAAAGTAGAGGCCAGAGGCCCTTATTTGGGTGCAAGTACCAATCTGCTGTCTGCGTGAGTCTGCCCGAGTTGCATATGCTCTCCTTTTCTGTGTGCACAGAAAGTTGTAATAAATAGAGGTTCAGGCAGTGAAGAGCATTTATTTTTATTTGCCTATTTTTGTCATTCACTTGGCATCTCTAGATGGATGATGGAACCAGGAGGAACAGGCTATTCTCCTTGTGAATACAGCCCTCGTGTGTGTGAGGCAGCCTGTCTCAAAGACAGTTTGATGCCTGCTGACCCTTTGCAACCTACCTTCGCCTTGGAAATATCATGCTAGTGTAATGGTCTGCTTTTGGTAACCCTACCAGCAACCCCATGGAGTCTTTCAATCGGAGCTGTGGGTGGGCAGTTTTCCATGCTGTCTGACTAGGGTAGCTCACATCCTGGTCTCTGTCCTTTCTTCTGTTTGCTGTCAGGTATCAGAGTGGAGGTGGAAGGACTTCCTTTTGACACTTTACCTCCCAGTGGCCAGGCATAGAGCACATAACCCAAAGGCTGTTCTGCTCCTCTGCAGGGCCTGGATCCATCCTGCCCCAGTGCTGGAGAGAGCTGTCATTGCACAGGATGGCTGACAACCTTTTACCCCATCTACCTTCTTTCTAGAGACAAACTGCTTTCAGTCTTCACTTTTGATGACAAAGGATGTTGAAATGTGCAGACTGTTCAGTAGTGTCTTATTTTTCCTTCCTATTTTCTTTTCAATGCGTCAGTTTTAGTAGCCCCACGCACAACACGTGGGCCCATGGGCACTTGTAAAGCATCATTCCCTTCCTGTCAAAGCCAGTGACTCCTGAAGTAAGGAGGCTAAGCAAAGCATCCGGTGAAGTTGACACTGTGCCTAGCTCAAAGCGGGGTAAGAGAAGCTGTTTCATGTCTTGTTGGTCCACTGAAAGTTAAAATTGGCAGCAAAGACATCAAAGCAGGTGTGAGGATGCTTCTGCAAGACTTGCCAAGGACTCCTCTGTTCCTGTGTGATGCTGGGAGCCAGGGCAGGGAAGAGACTGCAAGCGCAGCCTGTTTAATATTCTCTTCTGTCCCTCTGATCTCCCCTCTACCCTGCAGAAGCAACATGTCCCATGTTTCTGCAGAGCTTGTCCTGAGCAATAGCAGCATCTGTCAGGGGTTACGGTGGCATTAGCCTCATGGAGCTGGGAGTTAGCAGCGCTTGGCAGAGTGACAGTTCTGCTGTACCTTACATAAATCCGTATCTTGCATAAATCTGTCTCTGCCTACTCTGTCAGGGTGTGTGGTCACAATTTGTCTCATTCCTCCTGCTGTCCACAAGGCCTTTTGGTTTCCTGGAAGATTTTATTTGTTTCTTGAGGCCCCTTTCCATCCTCTTTCTTCACACCTCCCCACTCTATACCCTTTCCCTCATAATTTCCCCATGAGTCCTAGAGGGAACATATCTTGTTAAACCAGTGTCTCACCTGCCCCTCTCACGTGCTGCAGAAAGCTCCCCATATTCCCATGGGAAGAGGGAAGGTCTTGAGCCTCCCTGTGGCTTTGGCAGCAAACCACAGCAGCCCTCCACCCACCACCTTCTGTTATGGGCTGCACGTCATCCCAGTCCTGGTTCCTTGCTCATTGGTACTTAATAGTACTTGGTGTGCCTTGTTGCCTCTCATTAGCTTCCTTGGGCACCTCTAGACCTTCTGAGGCCAGAAAGTAGCAGCAGCTGCCACGGTTCTTGGCGTTCTTCCAGTCTCTAAGGAAATTCTTGGGGAAACAAGAAAATCTTTATTAAACAGAACATTATGTCGCCAACCATGCTACCCGTGCATTTTCATATAAAGCACCTTAAAAAATTATAACCTCTTCAAAGCATCTCTGGTCACCACAAGGCTTGTCCTGAGCCACCCTCTCCTCCCTGGGGCTTCTTGGGGACCCGATGGGACCCATGCTGCCGTGGTGGCCTGTAGTGTAGGAAGGGTCCGCTCACCAGCGCTCTCCCATGTCACTTTGTCACCTCCCCAATTGCTTTATTGTTTCAAGGCTATAATAAAGAACTGCTCTGAGCACTGTGGCAGAGACCAGCATAATGTTCCTTTCGGTCTGCAGGGCCAATCTCTTAATATGTATTACCCAATAAAATACAGCGGCTCCAGAGGAGTGTATGGTCTGTCGAGTAAGCTCATTCCACCTCTCTGTGAGAGTCTCCACTGAGATGTGTGTCCTTGGGTGCTGAGAAGGAGGTGCTTGAGAGTAAGGGTACTTATTACTGTTATTATTTACTATTGTTTGGTGTCTGGAGCTGGTAAACAGTGAAGGTAGTACATTCTTCTACCACAGATTATCAAGGGGAAAAAAGAAAATCCCACGACGTGTTAAAGTGTGCACTCTGTGCTCTTAAAATGGAAGTTTCTGTTTTGTCTCCGAGTCTTCTTCCTTTTGTAGGCAGATGTGAGAGTTGTAATGCCAAGTGAATGGTGTGTATTAAGTCTATACAATGGCTCTTTAAAAAATAATTACATGTGGTACAAAAGGGAGACGAAACCACTCCATTCCTGTAAATGGCCACTTAAGATGTGGACAATAAATAAATAACTGTAATAAATAATCTGGCATATGAGAGCTTTAGCATTTAGGAGGAATAAATCAGAGCTCTTTCTCCATTGTCTGCTGAAATGCTTTGGCAATGGAATTGGAAGGAAAGATTTCACTCAGAGTTGTGGCAAGGTGTTGGAAAGCCCAGGAGAGTGTGTAGGAGTCTCCTGCCCTCCCTCTCTCTCCCATGGTTTTTTCTGTTGCACTTTCCCTGCACCACCCCTCCCCGTTCACAAGCGTGTGCTGCTTTCTTGTGAAATGGAAGAGATCCTCCTAAGTCTCACTCGCCTCTTGTGAATAAGTGCGAGGACAACGCCTGGGGAATAAAGCCTCCGCCGGCAGAATTAACGCATCCCCCAGATTGCTCGTTGGGTGTTCGGTCCTTCTCCTCTCCGAAGGCTTTGCCTTTCCA